ACTGGGGCTCGAGCCTGCAACTGGGGCATGTGCCCTGACCAGGAATAGAACCAGCGACCTCTTGGTGCATGGGTCAACACTCAATCCACTGTGCCATGCCAGCTAGGCCAATTTGGGTGACTTTTATTTTTTCTTCTTGTCTGATCACTGTGACTAAACTTCCAGTACTATGTTGAATAAGAGTGGTGAAAGCTGACAGCCTTGTCTTGTTCTTGTTCTTAAGTAAAACACTTTTAGTTTTTGTCCAATGAGTATGTTATTCACTCTATGTTTGTTATATATGACATTATGTTGAGGTATTCTTTGCTGAGAGTTGTGATCAAAAATGGGTGCTGGCTCTGGCCAGTTTGGCTTAGCAGTTAGAGCATCAGCCTGTGAACAGAAGGGTTGCAGGTTCACTTCCTGGTCAAGGGCTTGTACCTGGGTTGCAGGTTTGATCACCAGCCCTGGTTGGGGTCATGCAGGAGGCAACCAATTGATGTGTGTCTCTCACATAGATGTCTCTCCCTCTCTCTCTCCCCCTGCCTCCCTTCCAATCTATAAAAAATTTAAAACAAATGGGTGCTATATTTTGTCAAATGCTTTTTCTGCATCTATTGATATGATCATATAATTTTTATCTTTCATTTTGTTTATGTGGTGTATCACATTTATTTATTTGTGAATGTTGTACTAGCCTTGCATTCCTGGGATAAATCCCATTTGGTCATGGTGAATAATCTTATTAATATACTCCTGGATCAAATTTGCTAATATTTTGTTGAGGATTTTGGTATGTATATTCATCAGAAATATTGGCCTATAGTTTTCTTTCTTTGTAGTGTCTTTACCTGGTTTTGGAATTAAGATAATGGTGGCCTCATAAAAAGACCTTGGAATTCTGTCTTCCTTCCTCTTGAATTTTTGGAAATAGTTTGAGGAGAATAAATGTTAGTTATTTGAATGTTTCTTGAAACTTCCTTGTGAAGCCGTCCTCCAGTCCAGGACTTTTGTTTGTTGGGTGTTTTTTTATTACTGCTTCAATTTCATTAGTTGTTATTGGTCTCTTCAGGTTTTCTGCTTCTTTCTGATTCAATTTTCAAATTATTGTATGTTTTTAGAAATTTGTCTATTTCTCTCAGGTAAGCATATACTTGGGAGTGAGTAGCAGGATTATATTTAGAACTTTGGGACCAAATGGGAAAACTAGGTTGAGGTCTAAAAATTGCCTACTCAAACAAAATGTGGTTTCTTACCTTTATTTTTATAGCTCTCAATTTGCAAGTATTAGTTATAACTATATTCAGTGTAACTGGAAAGCACCTTCCAAAACCAAATATTAAAGCTTTTCCTGTATTTTTTATGGCTTTATACATTTTACAATAGGCTTTTCTAGCATTAACGAGAATCATTGAGAATTTGCTATATAGTTCCTGCTTCCCAGCTGTGTCCAGTCTGTCTCCTTAATTTTCTTAACGACTACATAGTTCACAAGAAATATTGGTATTAAAAAATGCTGTGTCTGTTCATGGATTGGAAGAATTAACATCATTAAAATGTCCATATTACCCAAAGCAATCTATAGATTCAATGCAATCCCCATCAAAATACCAACAACATATTTCACAGAACTAGAACAAATACTATAAAAGTTCATATGGAACCAAAAAAGACCCCGAATAGCCACAGCAATTTTGAAAAAGAAAGACAAAGTAGGTGGGATCACAATACCAGATATCAGATTATACTACAAAGTGACAGTAATCAAAACAGCCTGGTACTGGCACAAGAATAGGCATATAGACCAGTGGAACAGAATAGAGAACCCAGAAATGTACCCAAGGCAATATGCTCAATAGTATTTGACAAAGGTGGCAAGAGCATACAGTAAAATAGAGACAGCCTCTTTAATAAATGGTGTTGGGAAAACTGGATAGCTACATGCAAAAAAATGAAATAAGACCATCAGCTTACACCATACACAAAAATAAACTCAAAAAGGATAAAAGACTTAAATGTGACCCATGAATCCATAAAAATTCTAAAAGAAAATGTAGGCAACAAAATTTTAGACATCATACGAAGCAGAATTTTCACTGATGCATCACCTAAGGCAGCAGAAACAAAGGAGAAAATGAACCCATGGGACTACATTAAACTAAAAAGCTTCTGCACAGCAAAAGAAACAACCATCAAAATGGAAAGGCAACCCACTGTATGGGCAAACATCATTGCCAATGATACATCAGATAAGGGGTTAATTTCCAAAATATATAGAGTACTCATACAAATCAACAAAAGGAAGACAAAAAATCCAATTAAAAAATGGGCAGAGGAGCTGAATAGACACCTTTCCAAACAGGACATACAAATGGCCAAGAGACACATGAAGAAATGCTCAACATCACTAATCATCAGAGAAATGCAAATTAAAACAACAATGAGGTAATCACCTCACACCTGTCAGAATGGCCGCCATCAACAAATCATCAAACAACAAGTGTTGGCGAGGGTGTGGAGAAAAGGGGACTCGAATACACTGCTGGTGGGAATGCAGACTGGTGCAGCCGCTATGGAAAACAATATGGTGCTACCTCAAAAAATTAAAAATTGAACTTCCATTTGACCCAGTGATCCCACTTCTAGGAATATACCCTAAGAAGCCTGAAACACCAATCAGAAAGTATATATGTACCCCCATGTTCATAGCAGCACTATTTACAATAGCTAAGATCTGGAAACAGCCCAAGTGTCCACCAGTAGACGAATGGATAAAAAAGCAGTGGTACATATACACAATGGAGTACTATGCAGCTGTAAGAAAGAAAGATCTTTTATCCTTTGAGACGACATGGAGGGACCTGGAAAGTATTATCCTAAGTGAAACAAGCCAAGCAGAAAAAGAGAAATACCACACCATCTCACTTATTTGTGGAATATAATGAACATAACAGTCTGAGGAATATGGTAGACCCAGACACATGGAAGTAGGGTACAGACTGACAACCCTCAGAAGAGGGGACGGTGGCAGGAGGGAAGAGATAAACCACAGATCTTATATGCATGTATGCATGACCAATGGACATGGACAACAAAGCCGGGGATGGGGCAGGGGGGATGGAAAGGAGGTTGTCAATGGGGTAAAAAAGGAGAAACATCTGTAACAAAAATAAAATTAAAAATAAATAAATTTTAAAAAAGGAATGCTGTGTCATTTAAAATTAATATATGTAAGCCAATTTTGATTCTACTAGGTTACTCCTTTTATTGACTAACCACATCTAATATGTGTTCCAATTTACATCATGTTAACTTAGTGCCCTTTAAAAGTCAAATGATCAGGTGTGAACAAACATTTTTTCCCCTATAATTTTATCTTCTTTCCTTTCCTTAGCTCTGGAACTAACATTGTATTTATAAAAGACTTTGACTGTCTTCCAGAGTGGTGACTTTATGCTATAAATCTGGTTATTTACCTATCTATACAAATGGGTTTGTTTTTTTTTTAATCCTCACCTGAGGATATTTTTTCACTTATCTTCGGATAGAGTGGGAGGGAGAAAGGGTGGAAGAGAGAGAGAGAGAGAGAAAAACATCTCTATGTGAGAGAGACACATCCAGTGGTTGCCACCCACAGGACCCCAACAAAGGCAGAAACAAACTGCAACTGAGGTACCTGCTCTTAGGGGGAACTGAACCGGGCCTCTCTGGTCCACAGGCCGATGCTCTAACCACTTAGCAAAACCGGCCAGGGCACATGTGTCTTATTTCTTCATGAGTTCAGTAGATTTAAGAATCAGGACTTTTGAAACACCTACATAAGCTTCGTCATCACAGAAACATGTGAAACAGAAAAACTACAAAATAAACCCAAGAAACTGAACATGTGGTTCATTTCTCTTCATAGTTGGTACATTTTATAAAGTAATGAGCTGAAGGTAGTTGACCCAGGATTTGTACATTTATTCATTGAATAAAAATTTATTATATTCTGGGCCCTGAAATTTTTATATCTTATTTATTTCTAAAAACATTTTCTCAGTTCATGCCTGCATCCTCTGTTTTGCATTGCCTTTTAATTCATCTTTCTCCATTTATTTGTATGCTCTTTATATTCATCACTATGTCAGCATTCAGAGTGATGTATCTTGAATGCAAATATGACCATGAACCACAAAACATAATAATGTTCAGGTCTTTTAAAATCACCTATGAGGCTTTTATAATCTGATTTCTGCCTAACTCTCCATCTTTAGCTCATTGTACTGTCCACTCCTTTCTCTGGCATTACTGAACTGCTGGCGATGTTCTCCTCACCACTCTCTGTATTTTAGACAAAATTGATTCCATTGTATGCTTCTCTTCCTGTCTTGATACAGCCTTGCATGCTGTCTGTCTCTCTTCCCTGCCCTCTTCCCCTTTGATTCTGGCTAACCTCCCTGTTTAAGTCTCAGCTCAGGCATTATCTCTACAAAAGCCATTCCTGACATCTCTTATCTATGTTTTTCCTTAAGCCCCAGTGCTGAGTCCTAAATGATGAAAAGAAATTTGTCAGAATAATAGAGGAAAACATTTCAGATATAACAAAGGTGTACACTGATAAATACATAAGAAGTGACAGCAATTTTGGAAATTGTGAATAATGTTGCAGGTGAAATTTAGGGAGATGTTAAAAAGATGCCCTTATGAGGTGGATAATATAGTGTGATTTCATATGCTGGTACTGTATTTTTTAATTTTGTTTCTGATTATTTTGTTTATTGATGTGTGAACGAGTCTGTGAAAAAATTTTTGAGCTGTTTCTATGCCTTGAACTTTGTGATATCTAATATTTCCTAAATGATTTGTTGACATTTTCAAATATTAGGAGTATTTCTTAAATAAATAAATAATTCTACTAAAGATTAAGCTTAATTAAAATTCTCAATGGATAAAATATAATTTTTTTATTTTTATATCAATTATAGCTTTTATTTAACTGTTCTAAGTAGTTTATTTTAACTAATATAGAGATTTGTCAGCAGAACTAGACTTAGAAGTGAGATCACAGGAAGAGCAGGAAAGGCTTGATGGGAGTGAGAACCACCACCGACAGGTATGTAATAAGTTACATTTAAATTTCTGGTATAATAATGTTTTCTATGCTTTAACAATGTAATGTGGTCCAAATGAAATTACCTTTTAAGCTAGCCTTTTAGAGTCAATAGACCATAATTAGTATTTTGTTTTTATAAAATTTTAACTAGTTATGAGACTTAAAATATTGTTAGAATTTATAGTAACAGAGCTAAACTTTATCCTCGTGGTTGAGGCAAAAAATAATTCCCAAATATTGTTTGCTTCTTTTATGTTTATAACTTTCTTACATGATAAAGAAGTTAGCATCAAATATTGAATTATATCATTAAACAGTTAAAATTATGTTATTATTAATTTTTTTAATCCTCACCTTAGGACATTTTTGCATTCATCTTCAGATAGAGTGGGAGGGAGAGAGGGAAGAAGAGCCAGAGAGAAACATCGATGTGAGAAAGACACATCAAGTGGTTGCCACCCACATGACCCAACCAGGGCTGGGGACAAACTACAACTGAGGTACATGCCCTTAGCAGGAACCAAACCCAGGCCTGTCTGGTCTGCAGGCCGAGGCTTCAACTGCTGAGCCAAACTGGTCAGGGCAACAGTTGAAATTATGAATAATATAACTGATGATTACTGAGCTGGATTCATGTGAAAAGAGTAATCATTGTCAGTGGTTCAGAATTTGCAGTGTCATATTGCTAGTCAATAATGCGAAGGTAAAAGCTATATTATGCCTTGTGACCTCTATGTAATTGACTTCAGGGACTACATTCAGGGAGAGAATGGGGTCATAAAATTAACTCAATTGCCTATTAAGAGAATCACACCTTCCCAAACAGAACCTTTTGTTGTTAGGGTACAGACAATAACTTTCTAATTAATTTCATTTCAGTGTAGAAAATCAGTAAATATTATATAACTTTTTAATCCACTCTCATTAGTGAAAATTAGAACAAACCAGAATTGGATGCATTGGATAACTAGATAAACCCATACACTTTTGTAATATATCATTTGAAATCAAATTTAGGAGCTCGCTCTTCTTTTATATTGATTTTAATGATTTGGTTCCTAATAATTTAAAGTTTGCCTCTTCTCCAGTTATTTTTTAAAATTATTTTTTCAGTTTTATTTTTGGATTACAGTTTACATTTATTATTATTATTATTTTGTTTTAGTTTCAGGTGTACAGAATAGTGGTTAGATAATCATAAAAAAATCAACTCATAGACATAAAATAAAAAATTTTAAAAACTCTTAGACACAGATAACAGCACAGTGGTTACAATAGGGGAAGGTAAAAGAGGGTACAGGGTGGTAAATGGTGGTGGAGGCCTGATTTGGGGTGGTGAACACACGATGTGATACACAGATGGTATATTATAAAATTGTATACCTGAAACCTAAATAATTTTATTAACTAGTATCACCTCAATAAATTTAATAAAAAGATAGTATACTACCAAAAAAATCATATACTTTACAAAGTATTTCTCCTGATATTTCTAGTACTCACCTGGCACTATACACAGTTATTAAAATGTTATCGAGTCTATTCCTTGTACTATACTTTACATCTCATGACTATTTTGTAACTACCAATTTGTACTTCTTAATTTCTTCACCTTTTTTACCCAGTCCCCCATCCCTTTCCTTTCTGACAACCATCAGTCTGTTCTCTGTATCCATGAGTTTGTTTTTCTTTTGTTTTGTTTTTATTGTTGTTTTTTCCATACCTGAGGGTATTTTTTCATTTTTGTTCAGATAGAGTGGGAGGGAGAGAGAGAAACATTGACTGGTTGCCTCCTGCACGACCTGACCAGGGATGGGGATGAACTGCAACTGAAGTACATGCCTTTAACCAGAATCAAACCCGTGACTCATTGGTCCGAGGGCTGACACTCTAACCACTGAGCCAAAAAGGCCAGGGCTGTTTCTGTTTTGTATGTTTGTTTATTTTGTTCTTTAAATTCCATATATAAATGAAATTATATGGTATTTATCTTTCTCTGAGTGACTTATTTTACTTAGCATAATACCCTCTAGGTCTATCCATGTTGTCACAAATGGTAAGATTTCATTGTTTTTATGGCTGAGTCATATTCCATTGCATAGATGTATCACTGCTTTTTTATCCACTTTATTTTTTTTTTTTTTATCCTCACCCGAGGACATTTTTCCATTTTTTTGTTGTTGTTGTTCAGGTAGAGCGGGAGGGAGAGAGAGGAACAGAGAGAGAGAGAGAAACATCAATGTGAAAGGAACACATTGAGTGGCTGCCACCCGCACGACTGACCAGAGCCGGGGACAAACTGCAACCGAGGTACGCGCCCTTAGCGGGAACCGAACCCGGGTCTCTCAGGACCACAGGCCGACGCTTTAACCGCTGAGCCAAACCAGCCAGGGCTATCCACTTTATTGATGAGCACTTGGGTTGCATTTATAGTTTGTCTATTGTAAATAATCCTGCAAAGAACATAGGTGTGCATATATTCTTTTGAAATAGTATTTTGGGTTTCTTCAGATACATACCCAGAAGTGGAATTGCTGGGTCATAAGGCAAATCCATCTTTAATTTTTTGAGGACACTCCATACTGTAACAGCTTCACGAATCTGCATCGCCACCAACAGTGCACAAGGATTTCTTCTTTTCATATTCTTGCCAACACTCATTTGATGATTTATTGATGATAGCCATTCTGACAGGTCTGAGGTGATAACTCATTGTGGTTTTAATTTGCATTTCTCTGATGATTAGTGAGTTTGAACATCTTTTCATATGTCTACTGGCCATTTGTATGTCCTCTTTGAAGAAGTGTCTATTTGTATCCTCTGATTGTTTTTTAATTGGATTGTTTAGTTTTTTGGTGTTGAATAGTATGAGTTATTTATAAATTTTGGATATTAACCACTTATCAGATGTATCAGTGGTGAATGTGTTCTCCACTTCAGTTCACCCATTTCATTTGCTGTGTAAAAACTCTTTAGTTTGATGTAGCCCCCCCCCCCTTTTTTTCTGTTGTTTCTCTTGTCCAAGGAGATATATCAGAAGAACTATTGCTAAGAGAAATCTTAGAGATTTTACTGCTTATGGTTTCTTCTAGAAGTTCAAAGGTTTTGAGTCTTACCTTTAAGCTTTTAGTCCATTTTGAGTTCATTCTTATATATGGTATAAGAAAGAGGTTTAGTTTCAGGTTTTTTTGCATGTATCTCTTCAATTTTCCCAACAGTATTTACTGAATAAACCTGTTGTACACCATTGTATGCTCTTGCCACTTTTGTAAAATATTAATTGAGCATAATGGCTTGGATCAATTTCTGGATTCTCTGTTCTGTTCCATTGATCTCTATGTCTGTTTTTATACCAATATCATGCTGTTCTATATACTTTGATATTAGGTAGCTTGATATCTCCAACTTTGTTCTTTCTCAGGATTGCTGAGGCTGTTTGTGGTCTTTTGTGGTTCCATGGTGAAATTGGACATTCCTGTCTTGTTCCAGATTTTAAGAAAAATGTTTTAGTTTTTTCGTTCCAGTAGTCATCAGTTAGTTATTCAGGTTGATTGTCCTATGATTCAGTTGTAATTCCAGTTTGGTCCTGAGTACCACTTTCACCTACTCATCTGCTGTCATGGATCCCCCTTAAAAATAATTCTTAAATGCAGTGTAGAATTTAAGATATGGTGAGGTGAAATAGTTTAAGTGAGGAAGCCTTTGTAACATTAAAATTCATCTACCAATTTATTTTTGGTAGATTTCACATCTAATGAATTATTTCGTTCCAATATTGACAAAATGGGATTTACACTTCATGTCTTTTTTCAAACTTTTTTTTTTTAATTTTCACTCAAGCATATTTTTTCATTCGTTTTCAGATAGAGTGGAAGGGAGAGAGAAAGAGAGAGCAATATCAATGCAAGAGAGACACATCAACTGGTTATCTTCTGCACAACACCAACCAGGGCCAGGGACTGAACCGCAATTGAGGTACATGCCCTTGACTGGAATCAAACCCATAACTCTGGTCCACAGGGTGACGCTCCAACTGCTGAACCAAACTGGCCAGAGCTATGTTTTTAATTTAGACCAAGGCAAGTTGTTTTTTACTTCTTAGTTACAGTACAGTAATTTGGGAGTAGGTAAACATAAAGAATTTTAACACTTAAATTTTATTATAATTTTTCTTTATTCATACTTGATTACTTAAGGATAAAGTTATTTCACCAACATGTACCCCAACAGAAAAGACATCCGAAAATCAAACAAACAAAATGAATCTTCCACTTTTGCATCTGGAAAAAATTTCTCAAAAAACAGAAATAAATAGGTCATGTGACAGAACAAATATATCTGCTTATTCAGGACATCCTTCTGTGCAAAAGTATGAGGAAATGTGGATCAAACAAGGCAAATTAGAATGGAGGAATAATTTACAACTTACCGCAAATTAGTTAAAGTGAAAGATTGGTGAAATTTTTGAAAAATACAAAATTACTGCTCATCCTGAGGAACAGCTACTACTTGATAACTCTAAAGAAGAAGCAAGCTTAGGATGAATGCCTTCTATTTTAACATATAAAATACTTGATTGTGATGGAAAAGATGCTTTTGGAGTGTCTGTCTCTGCAGTATTCTAAACATTTCTTAAAGGAAACACTCTCAAAAATGTCTTTCCATCTCATTCAAACTCTGGCTCCTTGGAATACACTTGTCGATAATCTTCTTCTAAGCTTTGTTTAAATAAAAGTAAATTACACTAAAAGATAACAAACCACATACTCAATATGTTTTCAACAAAATGAGAAGTTTTTATAATATAAAAAATACAAAAGTAGCCCTGGCCATTTTGCTCAGTGGTTAGAGCATCAGCCCATGGACCAATGAGTCACGGTTTCAATTCCAGTCAAGGGCACGTACATTGGTTGTGGTTTGTCCCCCACTCTGGTCAGGGTTGTGTGTGGGAGGCAACCCGTCCATGTTTCTGTCTTTCTCCCTCTCCATCCCTTTCTCTCTCCCACTCTTACTGAAAATAAATGGAAAAATATCCTTGGGTGAAGATTTAAAAAATAACAAATAATAACAAATAAAAAGGTAAAATGCCCAGTAGTTAAGTTTGAAATAAAAGAAGACAAAGAGTTTGATATACAGGTGACAATATCAACCCAAATATTACTAATTTGAAATTAGGCATTAGACATACACCATAATCTAGTGATTTTTAAAAAAAGGCCATCTTAATTTATGGCTTGCCCACTGTAATAAAATAAAACACATAATTTAAGTAAAAAGTCACAATATTTCTGCTGTTACAAATAGTTTTAAAGAAACTAAACCAAACTTACAATTTGTTCCAGAAGCCATTATATACAGATATTTTTAGTGCTAATAACTGTAAAAGTATGCAACATGAATTAGAAAATGTGAGTTCTTCTCTACTGTATAATGACAGAACATGTGAATGATATCTAAATGAAGAATCACAGCAAGATACACAGTTTTAAGAATGAGACATGTTAAATGTTAAAATTAGAGTTTCTGACTTTGGAAAAAGAGAAAGTTCAACTTCAAAAAAAAGTAGAGGCTCACTTGGTGTGACTCTTTGTTTTTTCTCTTTGTCAGTTACCCATTCTGGTTTTTCACTTATAAAAAAAGTTTGTGTGTAAAATAAAGTTGTGTAAATTTGTAACTGTGTCTAGAAATTGATTATTTCAGGCATCTAAAATAATAGAAATTTAAAAAAAACTTCTCATAATTTTTGTTCCTTAATGAACTTAAGCCTCTCTGTCAGGCTTACCTGTGAACTGGGAAACTAATTTATCTGTGTACCATTTGACCTTCTGAACCAAAGAAAATTTTAAGAAATTTGCTTTGCCCTGGCCAGTTTGGCTCAGCGGTTAGACCCTGGACCCTCAAACCAAAGGGTCATGGATTTAATTCCTGGTCCAGTGCACATACCTGGGCTGCAGATAAATAAATACTCCCAGCTAACCTAATCAATTTTTGTGTTCTAGTGTGTGCAATCTTTCATGCTTTACTCAAAGCCTTTGAACTTAGAATCCCAGCATGACCACTTTGAGATATTTTTCGTAACAAACACATATACTTCCACATATATTTTGTTTATTATTACTCTCAGATGTTTTTATAGACTCAAACCTTCACATTATTTTGTTTAATAAAATATGGATAATTTTGACATGTATAGGTAGCACAAACCCTTTACAAAAACTCAGTAAGTAACTCTAAAGAAAAGCTGCCTATTACTGAAGCACAATGTCACATCCTTTGACGCTGACTGTGTAATGTAAAACCCAAGTGAAAAAGACAGAAGAGGACAAATTATGTCTTTGTCTTTTTCATTCTTTTCTCTGCTAGACAAATGGAATGGGGGTGGGGTGGGGTGGGGTGGGGTGGAGTGGAAGGGTGGGTAAGAAAAATGTTAGGTAGCAAAGAGTAGATGTGAATAAGAGCACAAAATTAAGAAAGCCCTTTTTGAAACCTTGGAAAATTCTGCTTCTTTACTGAAACAAAAGTAAAGCGGAATTTACTAAAATTTCAAATACCTCTAATGATAAAATTAAAATAAGCACAAGAAATATTTTTATTGATTAAAGTCTAGACAATTAAACTAAGAGACAAATGATAAAATTAATTAAAATACTAAAGGTCTTTTTAATGAATAAAGTGATAACAATTATCCTTAACATCAAATTTTTATTAAAGGTTGAAGAAGAAAAACAGATGCACAGAAGTAGTGAAGTGGAAGTAACAGAAAACAGCCACCATGCTGATGTTGACAACAGGGACGGATTAATTCAACAAAGAAAGAGTGGGCAAACTGATAACCAACAATTTTCTGATATGGAGAATGAAGATTCTGATTGGTAAGCCTATAGCAGTATTTAACAGTAGGTAATTATTTCCCTGTAAAACAAATTCTAATTTGAACTAATATTCATGATCCATAAATTATGTATTTCTACTAGGGATAGTCAGCCTTGCCTGGTAATCAGAAAAATGTAAATTAACAAATGAGATACCATTTTTGAAGTCATAATGATAAATATTTTATATAAAAAATAACCAGTGTTGGTAAATGGGAGAGAGAAAGGCATTTTCATACACTATTGGTAAATAAAATTGATACACCTTTTTTTGGTGGTTCATTTCTTTTATTTGTTTATTTATTTATTTTATTTTTGTTACAGATGTTTCTCCTTTTTTCCCCATTGACACCCTCTTCCCCATACCTCCCACACCATCCCCAGCTTTGTTTTCCATGTCCATCGCTTATGCATACATGCTTATTCTGTGGTTTATCTCTTCCCTCTCCATCCCCTTTCTGAGGGTTGTCAGACTGTACCCTATTTCCACGTCTCTGGGTCTACCCTGTTACTCAGTCTGTTATGTTCATTATATTCCACAAATAACTGAGATCATGTAATATTTGTCTTTCTCTGCTAGGCTTGTTTCGCTTAGGATAATACTCTCCAGGTCCTTCCATGTCATCTTATAGGATAGATCTTTTTTTTTTTTTACAGTTGCATAGTACTCCATTGTGTATATGTACCACAGCTTTTTAATTCATTAATCTACTGATGGATACTTGGGCTATTTCCAGATCTTAGCTATTGTAAATAGTGCTGCTATGAACACAGGGGTACATATATCCATTCTAATTGGTGTTTCAGGCTTCTTAGGGTATATTCCTAGAAGTGGGGTCACTGGGTCAAATGGCAATTCAATTTTTAATTTTTTGAGGTAACACCATACTTTTTTCCATAGTCGCTGCACCAGTCTGCATTCCCACCAGCAGTGTACTAGAGTCCCCTTTTCTCCACATCCTTGCCAACACTTGTTTGATGATTTGTTGATGGCAGCCATTCTGACGGGTATGAGGTGATACCTCATTGTTTTAATTTGCATCTCTCTGATGATTAGTGATGTTGAGCATTTCTTCATATGTCTCTTAGCCATTTGTTGTATGTCATGTTTGGAGAGGTGTCTATTTAGTTCCTCTGCCCATTTTTTAATTGGGTTCTTGGTCTTCCTTTTGTTGAGTTGTTTGAGCACTCTATATATTTTGGAAATTAACCCCTTATCTGATGTATCATTGGCAGTGATGTTCTCTCATCCAGTGGGTTGCTTTTCCATTTTGATGCTTGTTTCTTTTGTTGTGCAGAAGCTTTTTAGTTTGATGTATTCACGTGTGTTCATTTTTTCCTGTTTCTGTTACCTTAGGTAATGTATCAGTGAAAATTCTGCTGCGTATGATGTCCAAAATTTTGTTTCCTACAGTTTCTTCTAAGATTTTTATGGATTCACATGTGACATTTAAGTCTTTTATCCATTTAGAGTTTACTTTTGTGTATGTTGTAAGTTGATGGTCTAGTTTCATTTTTTTGCATGTTGCTGTCCAATTTTCCCAACACCATTTATTAAAGAGGCTCTCTTTACCCCATTGTATGGTCTTGCCAACTTTGTCAATTATTAATTTAGCATACTGTGTTGGGTCAATTTCCGGGTTCTCTGTTCTGTTCTACTGATCTATATACCTGTTCTTGTGCCAGTATTAGGCTGTTTTGATTACAGTAGCTTTGTAATATAACCTGATATCCAGTATTGTGATCCCACCTACTTTGTCCTTTTTCAAGATTGCTGTGCCTGTTGAGGTCTTTTTTGGTTCCATATAAACTTTTGAAGTATTTGTTCTAATTCTATGAAGTATGTCATTGGTATTTTGATGGGGATTGCATTGAATCTATAGATTGCTTTGTGTAATATGGACATTTTAAGATGTTAATTCTTCCAAGACATGAACAAGGTATGTGCTTCCATTTTTTTATATCTTCCTCTATTTCTTTTTTCAATGTCCTGTAGTTTTCTGCAAATAGGTCCTTTACTTCTTTTGTTAAGTTTATTTCTAGGTATCTTACATTTTTGCCATGATGGTAAATGGGATTGATTTTTAGTTTCTCGTTCTGTGAGTTCATCATTGGTGTATAAGAATGCCGTCAGTTTTTTTATGGTAATTTTGTATCCTGCTACTTTGGCAAATTCATTTGTTAAATCTAGATTGTTAATGTAGTCTTTAGGATTTTCTATGTATAATATGATGTCATCTGCGAATACTGACAGTTTCATTTTCTCTTCTCTTATTTGGATCTCTTTTATTTTTTTTTCCTGTCTGATTGCTGTGGCTAAGACTTTCAGTACTATGTTAAATAGGAATGGTGAAAGTGGGCATCGCTTTCTTGTTCCTGTTCTTAAAAGAAATACTTTTAGTTTTTGCCCATTGAGTATGATGTTGGCTGTAGGTATTTTATATATGGCCTTTATTATGTTGAGATATAATCCCTCTATTCCCGCATTGCTGAGCATGTTTAGCAGAAGTAGGTGCTAAATTTTGTCGAATGCTTATTCAGCATCTATTGATATGATCATGTTGTTTTTATTCTTCATTTTTTTTATGTGGTGTATCACATTTTTTGCAAATATTTGATTTGCAAATATTGTACCATCCTTGGGATTGTACCATCCCAAATATTGTATTCATCCCTGGGATGAATCCCACTTGGTCATGGTGAATAATTTTTTTGATGTATTCATGGGTCTGATTTGCTAGTATTTTGTTCAGAATTTTGGCATCTATGTTCTTCAGGGATATTGGCCTGTAGTTTTCTTTTGTTGTAGTGTCTTTTTCTGGTTTTAAAAATTAGAATTATGCTGGCCTCATAAAATGAGTTTGGAAATCTTCCTTCTTCTTGAATTTTTTGAAATACCTTGAAGAGAATGGGTGTTAGTTCTTTTTTGAATGTTCAGTAAAACTCCCCTGTGAAACTATTCCAGCGTGGGCTTTTGTTTGCTGGGAGAGTCTTGATTACATCTTTAATTTTCTTTGTTGTTATTGGTAGATTCAAGTTTTCTATCCTTTCCCCGTCCAATTTTTGAAAACTATGTGCTTCTAGAAATTTGTCTATTTTGCTTAGATTGTCCAATAGGTTGCCATATAATAGTTTATAGTATTTGTTAATGATCCTTTGTATTTCTGTGGTGTCAGTTGTTACATCTCCTTTTTCATTTCTAATTTTGTGTATTTGGGTTCTCTCTCTTTGTTTCTTGGTGAGTCCAGCTAATGGTCCATCAGTCTTGTTTATCTTTTCTTTTTTTGGTACGTGCCCCAAGCAGGAACCTAACCCAGGACTCTCTCATCCACAGGCTTACGCTCCAACTGCTGAGCCAAACCAGGCAGGGCTCATTGATCCTTTGATTGTTTTCTTTGTTCTCTATGTCATTTATTTCTGCTCTGATCTTTACCAGTTCCTTCCTTCTACCTGCCCTGGGGTTTTCTTTTTCTTTGCTTTCTAGTTCTTTAACTTGTAAGGTTAGATAGCCTATTAGAAATTTTTTTTTGTTTTTTGAGGTAGGCCTGTAGTGCTATGAACTTCCCTCTCAGAACTGCTTGTGCTGCATCCCATAGATTTTGTGTTGTGTCTTCATTTTCATTGGTTTCCAGGAAGTTTTTAATTTCTTCCTTGATCTTCTCAGTAACCCATTCATTGTTTAATAACATGTGATTTAGCCTCCCTGTGTTCCAATGTCTTTGCATGTTCTTGTTGCAATTGATTTCTAGTTTCATGCCATTGTGATCTGAGAAGATGCTTGATATGATTTCAATATTTTTGAATTTGTAGAGACTTAGTTTCTGTCCTAACATGTAGTCTATCTTTGAGAATGTCCCACGTGCACTTGAGAAGAATGTGAATTCTGTAGTTTTGGTTATAATTCTCTGTAGATATCTATTAAATCCATTTGGTCTAGTGCTTCATTTAGAGTCTCTGTTTCTTTGCTAATTTTTTTGTCTATAGGATCTATCCAGTGATGTCAGCGGGGTGTTGAAGTCCCCTGCTGTGATTGTATTGCTGTTGCTTTTTCCTTTGAAGTTCTCCAGAAAATTTTTAATATATGTTGGTGCTCCTATATTGAGTGCATATATGTTTACCAGGGTTATATTTTCCTTTTGGATAAATCTTTTCATTATTATGTAGAGACCTTCTTTGTCTCTAGTTATGGCCTTTGTTTTGAAATCTATTTTATCAAATATGAGTATTGCCACCGCAGCTCTTTTTTCCTTTTCGTTTGCTTGGAAGATTTTATTCCATCCCTTCACTTTCAACCTATGTGAGTCTTTTGTTTTAGGTGGATCTCCTGTAAACAACATATATAGTCATGCTTTCTTATCCAATCAGCTACTCTGTTGTTTTATGGGAGCATTCAATCCATTTACATTTAAGGTAATTATCAATATGTACTTATTTATTGCCATTTTTGTTTAGTGTGGTTATATTTTTTTTCCTGTTTCTTCTAATTACAGCAGTCCTTTTAACATTTCTTGCAGTGCTGGTTTGGTCCTAATGTATTCCCTTAGCCTTCTTTTGTCTGGGAAGCTCTTTATTTGACCTTCTATTTTGAATAATAGCTTTGCTGGATAGAGTCTAGGATTCAGATTCTTATTTTTCATGACCTTGATTACTTCATGCCTTTTCCTTCTGGCCTATAGTGTTTCTGTTTAGAAGTCAGCTGATAGCTTTATGAGGGTTACTTTGTAGATAACCTGTTGTTATTTTTTGTTGCCTTTAGTATTCTCTTTTTCTTTAATTTTTGGCATTTTAATTGCTATGTGTCTTGGTGTGGTTCTGTTTGGGTTCTTCTTACTTGGGGCTCTCTGTGCTTCTTGAGCTTGAATGCCTTTTTTGTTGTTGTTGTTACCAAATTAGGGAATTTTTCTGTCACTATCTCTTCAAATATATTCTCTAACCCTTGCTTATTTTCTTCTTCTTCAAGGATGATGCAAATATTATTACGTTTCCAGCTGTCCCACAGT